CTACATGATTTCTGCCCTCAGTCCTCAGTCAAAACTAGAAGCTAATGTAGAAGAAAATATTGAAATATTTTTACAGATGGGGATTATTTGGTGTGGAATCAGAGATCCCAATGAGGAGCGTGAGGCCAGAGTAACATTTAAATGAGAAGGAGGAAAACAGCTAGAAAGCAGGGGAAATTGCATGAAGCTTTCCACACACAAGCTATACTTACTACAGCATACCCACAGGGCTAAAGTGCAAATGTAAATCCAATCAAAAGCTCAGCAGAACAAGCCACTCTAAAAAGCATGGTTCACAGCAAAACTAACTCAAGATTTCCTGAATCCATCTGTAACTGTGCCTCTTTTTTGTCACACATTTCCAAGTGATTATCCTTGATAATTAAAAGCACTTAAGTGCTCACAAAATTCCCTCTTAATGGCCATGCAAAGCAAGGAAAGGAACTGAGCAATCTGACAGGCCTGACCCTGTACAAGCAACCCCCAACTATTTCTACAGCAACCAGTTAACACCAGTTCTTTCAGAGGCTTTCAGCACTGAGGAGTTTGCTAGAAAGCAGGGACCAGAAGGCAAACAGACTGGTGTGAACTGTGGAATCTCAAAAAGCTCATTTCTCTCCCATGCACAGTGCATGCCAAATCTTAAAATTCCTGCAGCATCCAGTTATGAAAGTACAATAGAAGAGAAAAACAGATGGCTAAAGCCTTTATGAGAAAAAAAAATTTAAGCATTACTTCACTTCCAAAAAAAGGATATGTATTTGAAAATATAGAACCTACTTCAGACCATACCTAATTGATACAAAAATAGGTGACTTCCCTCATGGAAATGAAGCCTGTCTTCAGCTAAGACAGTGTACAAGAAAAAAATAACCCTTTTAGAACACTATGGCTTGTTGTATTTTTAAGCAAATTTTAAAAGTAAAGTAGTTCACAAATAAGATGACAGCCATTACATATATTGCAAAAAGTAACATATTTCTTTATCCTTAAAAGAGCTGCTGAATGGTACATCTGGTAGAAAAGCCTCCTAACATTTACTCCTTTCCAGTGCTTTTAAGCAATTAGCAGCTACATCCAGGTGAGCAGCTTTCTTGTGGGAAAAGGAATGGTTACAAAAGCATCTAATCAACAGCAACGTACCAGGAACTTGGCAACCTCAACCCTGCAAGAGTTAGGCCATTCCCATTGGAAATCGGGCAACTGATACGGCAATATTACACACTGAAGCTCCTGTTAGGTCCCTGACTTGCGAGACATCACACAAAATAAGGCACATAAAAGCCATCCCAGAGAGTGCTCATGTGTGTTAGATACTTCACTGGCTCTACAGAACAGCTCTCATAGCTTCAGGTCCAAGTACTGGAAATGATCTTGCGCCTAAAAGAATTTGTCTGGTGAGGCTCCTCTGCTGAGCCTGTATCTCACACAGGCCTCCAGCAGCTGAGAAACCCCAGGGAACACAAGAGAGCCACCCAGGGCCGGCAGGCATGGCACCGGCTCAACAGGAGACCCGCGCCTGTCTGAGCTGACAGCTGGACTGGTAGGATACCCAAAGGCCTCTCAAACAGCGCCAGATGCCAGCACTCAGGCACCTGACTCAGGTCCACCGCGCTCACCTGCCAGAGACACCCAGCACACTCAGACCCCACACCGCAGCAGTCTGCTCCGATCAGTAGCAAATACATCCCCTCCACCAGCAGGTATGTATTCAGTGGCCTAAGTGAAAGCATAAAATGGCTTTTAGTCTCTATTCAATGGGTCTGCGCTGAGAATTAGGACAAAATTAACTCTCTCCTGCCGCGCATGGTCCTTCCAGGCCAGGACTGCAGCTCACTGGCAAGGCTGAGTGGAAAATCCTGCACTGCCCCAGCTTATTCCAAGGGTAAGCAGAGGATGACAGAAATCAAGCACTGCCAAGTCTTTCATAAATCAAGTACTTACATGATTAATTCAAAGCATTATGTTTTCACAGTAGCAGGAGTCACTAATCCATATTAAAGACCAAGAGTGCATTTATTTATTTATTTTAAATGAAAGGCCCTACAGGAACTAACTGCTCAATTTTTCAAAGGTACTGAGCAGCCACAACAATTAGGTCTGGGTCAATGGGCACAGCCAGAACACCACAGAAGCAACTTGGTTCCATTAAATCACCTGAAAATAAGGTTTTTCTAACAAAACAGTGACAACACCTGACACTCCATCACAACCTGCCCCACCAACAACCACCAACGAAAAGCATTCATCTGAAAGCAGCTGTCTTTAATCATTAATAGGGACAAGCATTAGAAATTAGAGAGAACAGAAAAAGCAAGCAAAGGGATTTGCGGCCTATGCTGGACAAACGCTGCTCTACCTACAGATAATCCTTTTAAAGAGTGAAGCAGCAACACCAGAGCGGTAGTGACTTCCCACACAGCCAGCATAGCTGCTGCTCTTGTTTCTGGAGTTATTTTGAACACCATATAAAAAAATTTGGATCTATGCAATGTTCATAGGAGACAGAAAAATATTAAAACCGACCAGAAAACCATCTAAATTTGCAAACCGCACCTGATCAGTCATGAAAGTATTTTAAACCATAAGTCAGTTTCTGAAGGGTTAGACAAATGAAAGCCTAAGAGAACATACCAGTTCATAACACAGCCTGTTTTGGACATGGACAATCCTTGCTCACAGACATGTTTCAGTCCAAGCGTGTTTACGACTGCATTGCCATTTATTTTAAAATATGAATGAAGCACTGTTTTCCTACCGAAACACTGCACTGTTAAAATGCCAGTACATTGAAATAACTCAGCGTTTACTACATTTCTATCAAAACACATTTACAGTATGGGACTACCAGCACACTCTATAGTATCACTACTTAATATATATTAGAACTGCTTTCAGAAAGAAACAGCATATGGAGTTCGTTTCTTCTATTTTGTTTTCACTTGTGCCAAACTCAGAGACAAGCTTTAGAAATAAACAAAGTAACCGCAGTGATTCTGTCAGCACATTCAGAATTGTATCTTCTCCAAAATTAAGGACAGGCTCAGTTAAATGTAATCAAAATATATAAATATTTTTTCCTTTGTTTCATAAAGGATTTCCACTTATGGAAGAAATAATGTGTTTTAGATTGCATATTTATATAACATCTTTGCTCTAAGGCTCTTCAAACAAGAGGAAACAGAAGAGAAAAGCCTGTAATCAAATGATTGTGTGAATGATGTTTCTCCCTATTGTTTTTTTCCCCTAAAATTCACTCATATTTCACCACCATACGGTTGTTTCTTCACAACCAATACAAGCACCAATACTGCACGTCTTCAAATTCAAGCCTGTAAAATGAAGTATCAGAGGAATAACTTTCTTTTTAAAAGTTGCTTACATATCTGAGGTTTTGAAAGGCTACATCACAACTTCATATACAGGGATTTTGCTAGGCACTGTAGTTTATGATTAAACAATAGGGTAGTTGTTTCCAAAAAAACTCAAACAAAAAAATAGATTGTTCTTTATAAAAATTTTGAGAGACCTTCTCAAATCAAGTTAAAGGAAGTTGCAGATCCAGTCTGAACATTCCCCTGTAGCATCCATACTTTAATGCTGAAGCATCCTGCAAATTCACAAATAAGGAGTGAATCAAAGTGAAAATAAAAGCCACAATAAGGCAGTCTATGCAAACAAAACATAAAAAGTAATAAACACAATTACTGAAATAGACCAGATAAACAAAATTACTATGGAAAACTCTTTGGCCTACACTAGACAGCAGGTCACATGAGATAATCATGATAGTCTCTTTCAACTTCCCAAATGTTTTTATTTATATTTTACTCTATGAAAATAAGTTCAACTTCTAAAATGAATTTTTTTTTAAATAATCTTTCAAAACATTTCAGGCAAGAAGATAACTTCTTGAAAATTTCTCTCTCTAACCTGACACTTTTTCTTTAAGACAGAGCAGCCAGCAGCCTTCCAGCATATTTGACAGAGATTTCCAATTCCAATAGACAGAATTTAACTTTGTAGAGGCAATTACTTATAACCAAAGAAAGCGGCCAACGTAAGTGCCAAACTTGCCAACAAGAAGATAAGCCAAGTATTAGAAAGGAGGCTGCAGTTTATTACATGGCAATTTGAACATCTCAGTTCGCAAGGTCTGGAAAGTACTTTCTCTGTACTGACCTACAGGATCACACTAATGTGAGGAATTAAGACATGAATCATCCAAAGATATAAAATAGCACTTAAGCATCTGTATAATGGGGATTTTTGCTTGACTATTTAAAAGCTGTTCCTACTCTTCCCCATCAAATTTAGTTAAGTTCATCTTACACGGGAAGGAAGATTTGTCCAAGCCAAACCCATACAATTAACTGATAGCTGCTGTCCAGTCAGCTCCAAAGCCATCCAGCAGGACCGTTACAGCACGAAATGCCTGTCTTAAGACAGTTCCCAAGGATGTGTCTCTTGTTTCTTCCCATTCAAAGATGGGAAGGAAAAAGAAAAGGCAGGAGAAGACAACAATGCACCTTCAGGTTAAGAAAGACAAAAACAAAATGAAAACGAGTATCTACCCTAGATTAAAACAACACAATTTTCAAGATCGGTCTCAAACGCGTCAGTCAGCTAACAGTCACGTTAGCAGATGACATTCAGCACCAAGAGCTGAGTTGGAAACCAACTCTGGGAAAATAGTTGTGTATTCTTTGGAACACATTGAATCAAAGGCTCAGAGCTAATAAATGCGTTGTCCTGCATGATAACAACAATGCCAGCTAAGAAAAATCAAAGTACAAAACAAAGCCAACAGGTAAAGGTGAGCATGCAGCAAAGCACTCATCAAGAGACACGAGCACCCCATCCTGCTCCTTCCGGAACGGGCAGGCGAGAGAGAGAGGGGAGGAAAGACCAACATACACACACGCGCACACAACGTCCTTCCTTTTTCAGCATCAGCCACTTACTCCACCACCTATGCAGCAACATGAGCTGCTTCTTACCATTTTTTGGTGCACTCGACCATCAGCTCCTGGTAAGAGGCCACAAACTGGAACTTGGACGCGTGTTTCCCAACACGCTGCAGTCTTTTCCAAACTGAAGCCATGATGGTGAGAAATATCAGTCCTATTATACAGTAGCAACTCTGGGAATACCAAGGTAGAGTGCGTGTGCCCAGCACTAGCAGATTTACATATGGCTACAGTAAAAACAACGCACAAGATGCTTGAGGGGATGTCTAGGATTCATATTCTGCCTCTCCCGTCTTCACAGTAAATTCTAGTCTAGTTGAACAGCTCATCACTGGCGAGGAGCAGCAGGCAGTACGAGCAGATGAGAAAGTAAGACAGAAAGGAAGTTCTCTCATGGAGCCATCGTTCCTGATGCACTAGATGATCTGGAGACTGCAAGACTGGAAGACAAATCAGACGGGGGAAGAAAACAGTAGTTAACACAGTACATACTACAGTGCTGCAGTTGCACATGATCTTGTACCTTCCAAGCAACAACTACAAGAAGCCACAAACACCTACCCCTTTCCTCTTCCCTCCTCCCCATCAATTAAATAAATAAATAAGAATGCAGCAGCAATTTCAGGAATGCAAACCACGAGTCTGTTTGGAAACATATCAACATATCCTTTTATCAGCACCATCGTAATTGGCAACAACAACAAAAAAGGGCAGGTCAGGGCCACACTGAATCCTTAGGAAGCATCTCCGGGAAGCAATGCAAAGTGGCTGAGGTGCTGCCAATTTGCTCCCAGAGGGAGGGACATCGGGAGATGAAGACAAGTTCTTTGTCTTCAAGCTGATGACAAAAGGTGTAACAGTTGTTTCCTCTTATCCCGCCCCCCCCCCCAATTCCTCTCTCTGAGGAGGAGGAACAGCCAAGCCCCATGCAAGGGATTGTTAGCGCTTAAACGTCTGTGCTGGGGTGAGGACCAGGATGACAGAGGAAGGGGCATTTTCACAGCTCTGGCTGCCCAGGCTTCCCCTTCACTGCATGATACTGAAATGGAAACGTCTCTCCCCCCCCTTGCACTGAGAAGCGCTCATCAGAAAAGGGAGAAACCCAGCTGGCTCCTCTCCCTCCAAACGCAAGCAGCATCTCGGCGGCGTGCAGGGGAAGAAACAGCAGCATGAGCAGAAAGGGGAAACCAAAGGCTGCTGCAGGCGGCGAGGTGGCAGGGCAGGAGGG